TATTATGAAAACCATCTCTTCAAAAACAGGAAAAAAACCAAACAAACAAACTTCTCCCTCTCCCTCCAATCTCTTGTGATGGGGAAAATCAAGCTGAAAGTGTTTTTAGTTGGGATGATGATGATCCTCAAAATTCAGCTCTCCCACATTTGTCCTCACTGACTTTTTATATCTCTGAGATTTATGCTTGAGTGTGTCTTGTATTCCAGAGGATATTGCATAAGTCTCTCCTCACCACAATTCAAATCTGCCAAAATATGGAAACCGCCTACGTCAGCCAAATGAAGAAAAATATTCTGGAGTCTCCACAACATAAAATTGCCGTTGCCTGGAATCTGTGTATTGCTTGGCTCAAATCTCTTGGCCTGTGCCTCAGACCAAAAGGTTTGAATTACTGGGCCCAAGATACACTGCATGTGGGCCTGTGGTGCCTGCCCTGGACTCTCCTTCCCAAGGACAGAGCACGCAAAAGGAGGGTTCCTCTTCCCACGGGTCAGGAAGAGGAATCATTAAAGACCAGCCAAACCAGGCCCAGGAGATCTCATGTCTCCAAAGTACTCTGTTGCTTAATCCTATGCACGTTTATTGAAAAGCAACTTCATTTTTCCTTCTTAAAGCAAAAAATCATCCAGTTCATTATTTCAAATCAGAAAGAGGTTCCTCAAACCACAAAAATTTTCTAGTTCACACAATGAAAAAAGGAAGATGCTGGTCAGGATAATTCATCACTACAGGTAGTCCTCGACTTACAACAGTTTGTTTAGTAATCATTCAAAGTTACAACGGCATTGAAAGAAGTGACTTATGACTGTTTTTCGTACTTACAACCATTGCATGGCCATATGATCAAAATTCAGTTGCTTGGCAACTGACTCACATTTATGACGGTTGCAGTATCCTTGCTCATGTAATCACTTTTTGTGACCTTCTGACAAGCAAAGTCTGTGGGGAAGCCAGATTCATTTAACAACTGTATAACTAACCTAACAATTATAGTGATTCACTTAACAAGTGTGACAAGAAAGGTCATAAAATGGGGCAAAACTTACTTAACAATTGTCTTGATTAGCAACAGAAATTTTGAGCTCAGTTGTGGTCACAGAGTGAGCATTAGCTGTAGTGCAGGAGCTTCCTTGATGGCAGGCAACACATCTTCCTTGCCCACCATCCTCTTGATCTTTCAGCACTTGCATGAGAAAAAAAGATGCTTCCAATGGCAGTGAGTTTAGGCTTTCCGATTCTGTCTGGCCTGGAGAATGATTAAAACTGTCCATGTCTTTTAGACATGAGTTGGCAGATTTCAGCTCAGCACTGATTCACTTGAATGGGGTATTGGAATCCAGGTTGCAATTTCCAGAAAATTATTCTTCCTCCACACAAAAAAAGCTTGAGGGGAATACTAATATTTTTAGGAGATTAAGGATTTCTTCAGAATTTTACTGGTTTGGGATATTATTGATAGAGAATAAATCTGGAATTTAGCCCAGCTCAAGGTATCTGGGAAGGAAGGAAGGAAGGAAGGAAGGAAGGAAGGGAGGGAGGGAGGGAGGGAGGGAGGGAGGGAGGGAGGGAGGGAGAAGGAAGGAGTTCAGTGAGCTTAAATGGACCTCATTGTTGTTGAGCCTGCCTTATAGTACTTTGTCACTTGCCCAGTATACAAGTAGTTCTTGTTTAGCAACTGGCTTGTTTAGTGACTGTCGTAGTTGATGAAAAAGTAACTTTTTGATCAAGCCTCACATTTATAAGCTGTGCAGGTTTGTAAAGCAAAGGAAAACTAAAATGAAATCATAAGCAGTATCACAGTTTCACTTAGTGACCATTTCATTTAATAACCAAATTGCCAGTCCCTATTGTGGGGGTTAAACAAGGACTATCTGTATGCCTTTATCAGAACAGGTATATATTTTATAAGTGTGGATTTCCTGACATCACATATTTTATTGCTCCAATAACCAAAATAACCAAAAGCAATTGAGGATTAAGATCAAATGATTATAAGATGACGTTGAATGCATGGGAAAAAAAGAAATAATTGTTTTTCTTTGTGGATCAAGCCTTAAATTGAAGGTTTTGAAATTTCAGCAGGGGAATGCATTTTTACAAGGGAAGGAAGATAAATCAATAATAATTGTTCTTGCTGTAGGATTTCTGTGGCTCTGATATTCTACAGTGGAACCCATTTCCTTGCTCTGAATTTACCATTCTAAATGCAAAAAAGTGCTAATTAAACCTCTCTGTGTGTGTGTGTGTTTGTGTGTGTTTATGTGTGTTTGTGAGAGTATGTATGAACAGGCAGAAGGGAAGGGAAGAAAACAGCCTTTGGAATGATGATGCCTCTGGCAAAATGCTGAGAAATTTTTGTTCTATGATCTGGATGGATTCTTTTTCATGGCAGCTGGAATTACAAGTGATTCCATTTGCTTTTTTTTCAGATTTAGTTATTGTGACATTTCTTCTTATCTCCAAAGAATCAGGGAGCGCAGTGCTTTGAAATGCATAATTAAAACATTGAAGCCTGTTTTGTTTTGCATTTTAAATGGCATTTTGAATTGAGAAACCAAATCATTTCCTGCTGAGTGGCCATGAGATAATGCCCAGGGAATAAGGCTTTTTAAAATAAACAAATATTTACTTCACATTTTGGTCTGTGTTCATGTATGTGTGTGGCCCAGTGTAGTTTTAGAGTACAGATGCACTACACTACATTACAGTTGAAAACCAGGAATCTGGAAGCACTTTTTCAAACTAACACATTTTGAGTAAAAGGCAAAGGCTTTTGTGAATTATAGCTCACTTATTTATTTATTTATTTATCAGACTTATATACCGCTTTAAGTGCAAGCACTCTCTAAGCGGTGTACACCAGTAAGCAATGTATATATATATATATATATATATTTACATGGCCCCCAACAATCTGGGTCCGCATTTTACCTACCCCGGAAGGATGGAAGGCTGAGTCAACTTTGAGCCGGTGAGATTTGAACCACTGACCTGCTGAACACAGTCAGCTAAAGTGGCCTGCAGTACTGCACTCTAACTGCTGTGCCACCTCGGCTCATCATCAGATGCATGTAGTGGCTAAACAGATAAAGGATTTAAAGGGGGATGAGATGGTAGCGGAGGATGGGAGGGGAAAGTAGTTTAGTTATGCAAATTCAGACAACTTATGAGATAGATTAACAGTATCAATTAACAGTATCAATTTATTATTGTAACGAGTTGAAATCCCAATGTTTATTTATCACATTTATATAACTGCCCATCTCCCAAATGTGATGCTGAATGGCAATAGAAAGAGATCATAAAAGAAACAAACTTCAAAAAATATTTCATAATAAATATATATTAATATTATTTTTAAAAAGACTAGGAGGGAGCATCTTTGATATTACATATAATGTAGCTATCTTACCAGTTCTCAATTTCCCTAAGATCTCCAAATTTGTTGACACATCCACATTTTGAAGGACATCTGGAAGATTTGCTGGGATGGAGCCTAACTCACCTTGGGAGTGATGATATTCCACAATGTGGGTGCCACAGCAGAAAAGACCCCACCAGCTGTTAAGACTTAAGTGATGGAACCGTTAACATGCTGGACCTGATGTGGGTGGGCATAAAGGTGAAGTGGTGATCTCTCAGATACTCTGGCCCCATGCCATATAGGGCTTTAAAGGTCAAAAACAGCATCTTCAATTGCAACTGGAAACAAAATGGCAACCGATGCAATCCTCAGAACAGAGTGTAATGTGGGCCATCCTAGGAGCACACAGAACTATAATGGTGTGCAAAAATGATCTTGAGAATGAGGGGAAGAGATTCTTATGTAAGGAACAATTAGATAAAATGGTGGGAGAAGGTAGCCCACAGCTGAATAATAGATAGAGAAAGAAACTTAGAAGAGGATCCATCCTATTTATCAGGTGGTAAATAGAGATGGTGGAAGATTTTATACTTTCAAATTTGCAACATTGATGTCAGCCTCCCAAGTAGGCCAGACAGGAAACATGACCAGATGTTTCTACGTTATTGTAAAACTACATTAACAGAGTCTTACAAATTTGAAAGTATTTCTCGCCACCTCTTTTTACCGCCTAATAAATTTGGGTGGATTCTTTCTTTGCCCAGTATCTTGGGATATTAGATATGAATCAACAGGAATTTGGTCATCCTCATATATGCACTTGGAGAAGGGCACTATTTTTCCTGTTTTACAGAACTGAGATGGATAGACTTCATGGAAAGCGTACCACTCACAAAGGTGTAAGCAGGTGCTGAAAAACAAAATAGAGCAAGGCTCTTTCCCACCGGCATCTTCCTGAGGCTATTTTCTATGTACTTGAAAACCCTCCAAGGCAGAGAAGCATTTCAAAAGCAGATGTTAAGTAGGTGGCTCTGGAATCTAATTGTTTAATACAGAAAAAATATAGAGAACAAATGCTGCTTAGGGTGACTTCGTAGTTCTTGATCTCAGTGGAAAAGGAGTTTGCCTTGAACACGATATCTTAGGATATTAGACATGAAGGAACTGCAATTATGTGTCTGTCATCGTTTGACTCTTCCGTGTATGCTGCTCATAACTAAGCAAACCACATTCTTCCTAGCCTCCATAATCCCAGATGTCCCTTCCCTTCTTTGGAGGAAACAAGTCCCAGCTTGATTTGTAGTTGCCTACTAGTTGCTAATCTGCATTGCAAGAAATTAACTCTATAGGCAAACACACAGCACTTATGGAAGCATAATACTTTTATTTTCATTTTAGCCCATTGAAAACACAGAAGCTGACTGGATCATGCTTCTCCCAAACCAGCTTCACCTGAACTCTGCTTGGATTCTCGACCTTTTTCTATCTTCTTCTTCTGTTCCACATTGCCATCTCAGCAGCAGGTAAGAACATGCCTAATGAGAATTTGGAAGCCAACCAGAAAAGGGTTGGTCTTCTCTTAATAATACAGTAATTTCCATTGAATAACACCCCATTTGATGCTCTGCTAGCAGTAAAGATGGGGATAGATGTTTTGTGTAACCTCCTTCCTCTCTTTCCCATGCCTTCCAGCTCTAGACATCTCTCAGTTATCAGGAAATGTGACTGATCAAGAGGACATTATCTTTCAAGGGAGATTTTGAAAACTTCTGCTGGTTATTGTTCCCACCTCAACAGATCAACAATCTGGATTTAATTCATGAAGCCACTGTGAAGACCAAAGCTTCTCTGGTACCAGGTAGGAAAAGAGCTAGCTCATTTTTTTTTTAAATAGGAACCGCTTTTTGGATACTCAGCAACCTTCAGATTCTCAGAGTTCTGAAGTCTTATATTTTATCTGCTTCTCATAAAGCCAGGTAATCCGTTCATGGCAAATAGAAAATGGACGTTTCATAACCAAAATGAATCAACTGCAGAAGTATACATTAATGCAATAAATTCAGCATATGCAACATCATAGATAAACTTGATTGCAATTAGTAATCCTTTTTGATAAGCACAGATTGTTCCATAATCTTTAATTAAATTATCTGTACAATTGATTTGATGAGTGCTCCAATCCATTTAAGGAAAGTGACATGTGTATAGCTTGCTTGGTCTGGAATGGGACATATGCTAGAATGCACATCATGCTGTTTTAGGTATTACTTTATATTTAGACTCCATGTTTGGAGATAAAATATACTTTTATACGAATGTTCAGAGATGTGTCTCCCTCCATTTTCTGACATAGTTATAGCTAGACCTCTTTATAAAGTACTTGAGAACAGAAATAGGGTGTAAAAAGCAAAATGTCTCAAATTTGAGAAAAGACTTGTGAAGCACCATCACTCGCCTTCTTTAAGACTGACAGTTCAGTGGAGATCAATGTGCCAGAGGAGAAGCTGAAAACACTCAATCAAAACTATTGCGAATGGCGAATCAAGGCACAGACCTGGGCTCAGTGTATCCATATTTAAAGGGGGTTGTCTCTAACAAGTTATCTTTTCTTTGTCTACTTTTAATGAAAAGAAGTTTACTTGTCTTCTCACAATGAATTGTAGATGTAATTTCTTAAATTTGTCTAATGTGAAAGAAAAGTTTGTCTTTTTTCTCAGAAAAAAACTCCTTGAGGTTTTGTAAAAAGAGTGCAGTTAAGGAGTTAGAGCAGCTTATTTTCCCTGTGGCTGGAGAGGAAAGTTGCAAATCCTCAGGACCTTGATGTCCATCAGGTATCTTAAAATAGCAGCTTGTCCTATTTTACATATTTTTACATATTTACATATTAGGAGAGGCCATTGATCCCTAAGAAAAAGGCTGGAAATAGGCATGGAAAAAAATACCCTCTGCATTGTAGAATTGGCATAATATTTGCAGAGAGTAAGTGCCTTGCAATCAGTGAGGCTCTTTGTTTAGCTCTGAGTATTTTGGACTCAGGGCTACACTTGATCTTATAAGTGACATGTAAAAGCTTAAACCTGATTTTATTTTTTATTTAATTAAAATTAAATGTAATTAATAGGATTATTCTCTAGTGCTATATTTAGGGCCCTGGTGGCACAGTGGTTAAGCTGCAGTATTGCATGCAAACTCTGCCCATAGCTTGCAGTTTGATCCTGACAAGGCTTCCCTCCTTCCAAGGTTGGTAAAATGAAGACCTAGATTGTTTGGGGTAATATGCAAATAATGCTTCTATATTATAAACCATCCAGAGAATGCTGTAAGACCAGCATGTAAGCCTAAATGCTATTATTAATACTTTCTCCCTTGTGTCACATTTAAACTTAATAACTAACCAGTTTTACAGATTTCTGGAGCATCATTTTGAGGCTTTTGAGGAACACATATATCTCCTGGAACCTCAGGCAGTACACCTTAGAATTTAAAACAGGAAGATGGGAGAGAAAATAGCTAGGCCATCACCATCTTTTCCCCTCCTCTATGAATATTGGCAAGATTCAATTGCTGTGGAAGCAGCATTGTATGAGTATTAGCCAACTACTTTTTAACCAAGCCTATATGAATGATACAAAGTGTGGGGTTCTGTGATTCCAGAAAAATGTGTTAATTTGATAAACCTTAACATAGTTAACTATGGATAAATCTGCCATGCAAACCCAGCCAGAGATTCAGAGCTTGTTGATCAAGAAGATTGTTTAGTCCACAGATATGGAACTCTACACTGAAAATGCAAGGCTAGTAATTCATGTCACATGGGTGTTGCTTGGTGAATGAGCTGGAGGAGAGAGGCTGAGGGTCACAAGTCTCATGGTGACAATTGGAACATAAATCTGTAGCTTTCTTGACTGGAAGAAATATTGGCGTCTCAGAGACTTTGGACTTGGCTCACCACCATAAATACCCCTAACTATATGATACAGCACTAAGAATGCATCCATTTTAAAACATAACCTAAGAATATGTTGATATATTTGTCTGGTGCTGAAAGAATTGGCAGCTGTGCAATGGAAGCACAGCTACTTTTTGAGTATCACAAAGAATCAGGGCTTAAACATATGAAAGCAATGTCCATTTGGGGCTATGTCACTCTCCCTTCTCAAAAGGATCTGTCTGAAGCCAAGTTCATGCCTTGTTTATGTCCCAGAGCCAATTTAAATTTCTCCTGGGAAGAGTCTGGGATTTGAGCTTGCAAAATGTTGGGACTGTCTGTTGCACTGTATGCAACATATAATTACAACTGGAAAGGCCTCAATAGCAGGAAAACATTCCAAACCCATAATTTTTCAAGATCCTTTTTTTCCCAAACCATCTTCAGTTTGTCAACAACCCTGGCAAAACTGTCTCCAGCTTGGACGCAGCTGTCTTGCCAAGGCTGTATTATGTGCTAAGAAGGGGACCAATTACAGGCAAGGGGTGGAGTGGGGTGGGGTGGGGTGGGGAAAATCCTTCAGGCTGGCTAGCTCAGACTGGGTTAATCATTATATGTAGTATTTTAGCCCAGGGTTTCTCAACTTTGACAACTTTAAGATGTGTCGGTTTCAAATCCCATCATGATTGGGAAATTGTGGGAGTTGAAATTCACGCATCTTAAAGTCTGCCCTTAGTTTCCGTACAGCCTTTCCTTTGTTCAAAGCTGGAATCCCCTGGGAAAGGAAAGAATTAGTAACCTATTTTAGCAATCTGTTGCTTCAAAATGTGTTGAAGTGATGACATGGAAGTTTGGTGGTTGAAGACTTGCGCATCACAAGAACACTGGATTGGGGGAAATCTAAGATAAGGCTTAAAAAGAGGTATATATTTTTCAGATTGAGGTGCATCCTCGACTTTTGAATGGTGTGCTACAGATCATATTCCAAGAAAGTACTGGTCGAGATCAGGACAAGAGCTTACTTTTGATTTCATTTCATTTACCCTTTAAATAATGTAAAATTAGAGAGTTTTATACTGTTTTCTGTTTCATCATGTTTTTTATTGCTACCTCAGGGGAAGTGGGGGGAGACATGTCCTGTTACATAAAAGACTTAAATACATCCAATATTCAGCTAGACTTAAATACACCCAATATTCAGGTAACATTGTACAGAGGGGTCCTTGATACTCTTTGAGCTTGGTTGTTTTATTGCAGATGTTTTATTATCCAAACTAGGTAACATCATCAGTACATCTTCTTGTACAGTCAAATGAACTGCTAATAATTTAAGAGGAAAAAAAATAAAGAAGAAAATGTGAAAAATAGTGGAAATACAAGGTCAGATTTTGAAGGCCAATTACTCAACATCTGTATATTTGGCTTCAATTATCAAACTAATTAACTAATAATTAGTAATTATCACTGGTCCCTTCTCCCATTTTTCTCTGCAGTTGTACATGCTAATCACTTTACATTGTCTTAACTGTTGTTTTCAGTGTCTATCTCAGTTGGTAGCTGTTTTTCTCTTATCTGCTAGGTATCTCGTTCAAACGTCTGGCAACCCAGCATATAAAAGTAATTTCTATAATATTTTATACCAGTTTGTAAAGATGGTAGAGGTTAACTCACACAAATAGCTCATAACACAAGACAATGAATATAGTGGCTCCCTCAAATCCCTCAAAATAGTGGCTCCCTCAAATCTGCGTATTGACAGGTAAAGATCAGAAATGGGTAGGCAATGATTTTCCCTGTGACCCTCTATAGAAGTGAAAGTTAGATCTGAAGAAGCAATCTAGAAAAAGTATTGATGTTTTTGAACTTTGTGATGGAGAAGATGCCTGGGAATACCAAGGATAGCCAAGAAAACAAAACCAATTGATCCTCAAATAAATTAAATAGACTTTTCACTTGAAGAAGATCATACATGGACATAATATGCAAAGACCTAGGTCACCATGGAAGGATCTGGTGTTGGAAAAGAGAAAGAAAAGAGAAGATGGGGATGACTAGCAGTGAGGTAGACAGAATCAATTACAGCAACAGTGAGTGCACAAGGCTGAAGATAGATCATCCTGGAGAAAATCTATCTATATGATTGCTAGGAGTCAACAATGATTTGATGGTACATGATCAATCAGTCAAATCTTGATTTGTACAAATCTCATAGCTCTTGTTCTAGATGTTAGCAACACGGGTCAATAGCCTCCATCCAGCAATGTTTGCATATCAGGAAGTCAAAAGGTAGGGGGAACTATGATTATTTGAAAGGTCTACTTCACTTTCTAACATGTTCTTTCTAAAAATGTAGGGGGGGGGGTTGTTCTCCATTAATATGCAACATAGTAGTGGTGATATTTTTTCTAGTTCTGGATGAAAATATATATAAATTTTTATATTTTTTTCCTCTCAGTTGCAAATAAAAGTATACACTTTTATTGAAAAATTGCACTGCACACATTTGTGAAAGGCTAATATAGGAGAATAATTGAATTTCTGTTTGTTTACTAGATTCAGGAAGTGCAAAATTAAGTCAGTTCATATTTTCAGCACATTCTAAACAAAAATCTTTTTTCTCCTAAGATTAGTGCTTCTAAGTCTTTCCTTTGGGCACTGCCACAATTCTTGGTTCTGTCATACAGCTGAGCTGAAATGCTTTTCCTTATTTTGTCACTTCACAGCAGCCTGCAGAGGAAAGGCAGAGAGAATTGCTTTCATTCTGGTTGGCTTTATGGCAATGCCAGGTAATGACATCAAAGCAATGTGTTCTGCTTTCTGGGACCAGAACATCTATCAATTCCTTCCAATATAACCATTGGCTAAGAATTGTAATTTCCCAAAATCTAATGAATGGGGTTCGTAGCAACCTCCAGAATGCAGCATCCAGC